ATTGCAGACTTCTGCAAGGCCTGTAGTTTGCAGACTATTTATGCTAGTTAGATTCCTAAGGCCTCGAACCACTCAAGTCCAATTAGACTCGTACGCTCATCCCCAACAACCATCACATCTAATAGACCTTGGAAAGCCTTACACTGCACTTTGAGCATGGCTTCTCCAAGTACTTTAACCCTTGAATTTTGAAAATCTGTGAGGATTAAGTTCGATGGTCTAAGTTTGATTCTAAGGTCACTACTGCTACAAATCCTTTTAAAGGTATTGTGTGAAATGATCGATAGAGCAGACCCAGTGTCCAGCTCCATCAACAAGGGAACCCCTTGTAACTTCACATCAATGTGAAGTTTCTTTTTAAGGGGCTTGTGTGTCCCTGTCCACAAAATGCTTCTGCGCTATGCGCAGAAACCCACCCTGTGTTGGCTGGGGACCCTGGTACCTTTCTGAAATAATTCTTTCCGAGGTTGCACCTGCTGGCGACCCAAACAGATGGAGGCAATGTGGCTTGCTTACCACATGCCTGGCAAATGGGGGAGCGAAACTGGCAGTCTGTTTGCTTGTGGCATCCTCTGCATCCAAGACACTGAAGAGCTGCTGGGACCCTGTCTGGCTCTCTCGCAATTGTTGTGCTGCAGGCTGGTGCAGTCTCCACCTCTTCTTCCTGGTCCAGATCTTGAACTTCTTGGGCGTCCTCTTGATGGATGGTCGCAATTGCTGGAGCATTTCTGGTGAGCTGCAAGGCCTTCACAGCACCGCCTGCTGCCTCTTCAGCTGCAACTTCATGCAAAACATCTTGGAAGGTGACTTCAGCTTTGGCAAAGATTTTTTGTTGCAGCTCTCTGCTTCTAAGGCCGCAGACGAAGCAGTTTCTTAAGTGTTCTTCCAGGTCCTTGAATTCACAATGTCTGGTAGCTTGTCTCAAGGCAGCAATGAATACCGCAGCAGACTCACCAGGCTTCTGGTCCCTCTGCTCAAAAACATGCCTCCAAGCAATTACAGATAGCTTTGGATTAAAGTGATCCTTCAGCATGTTCTTCAGGTCTGTGTAGGTTACAGACTCAAGTGGTGCAGGAGCTACTAAATGTTCAGCCACATTGAAAATGTCCTGACCGCAGATGCACAGCAGGGTTGTTGCCTTCAACCCGTCTTCTCGAACCTGGTTAACTCACAGGTAGTTTTCCACTGGGCCATGTAAGAGTTCCAGCGCTTCGGGTGAGACACGTCAAACTCTGACAACCGGCCAATCTTCGACATTGCTAGCTTCTCTTAGCCTCGCTGCAACTCAAGCTGGGAATAGGCCCGTTTACCAAGCCCACCTCCAGCATTTGCATACTGGCAGGTGAGTGCAGATCTGGGCACTGACTTCCCGGCTTCCAGTTCTTTTGTAGAGGCTAGGTTCTTCAAGTTGTCATTGAAGCGACAGACAAGTTGTTAACCAAGCTCTTTCTTTTATTTGTTCCACAATACAACTCAGCAAGCAACAGGTGTGCAGGCCTTTTATAGCTTCCCAAACCCAACCAATCAGAAGCACATCTTTTCTCGCCTTGTGCATGGGCGCAAGACGGGCACCAACCAGTCTGGTCCTGGGCAACTTCTAAGTTGCCCAGGACCGTTTACAACATTTCTGGGCCTGCTGAATCACCTCAGCAGGCCCAGGACACTATATCTGTACATTTGGTTTTTCTTGTCTAAATGTAATTATGGTGTGTGATTACGTATGTTATAAGCCAGAATCTTATTCTGCATTTGGTGAGATATCCCCTTTTTGAGGTGGACCAGTCAAGAAACCAGCTTCTCAAGTTTGACTAGAATTATACTTTTATAGTCTTGAAAGTCTAATTGTGTTTACCTTCCCTCCTTTTTACATAGAAGAGAGTTAGCTCGAAGAGAGTTTGATTTTTTTTATGCTTTGCTCATTTGCTGGATGTAAAGATTGTTCTTGTCATTGATGCTGCATAGTTATTCAATTCTTTCAGGCATCATATTTAGACATGTTTTGTTTAAGCATGGTTTATAAAATATAAACAAGATAAAGGTTCAATACAAAATAGCAACAAGAAAAAATGAATTGACCAAAGCCAATAAGATCTGGTGGAGCTGAAACTCTTGAGGTAATCAAGATTATTAGGAAACAAAATTTATCTGGCCAACAAAAGGAGGCTATCTTCTACCCCTTTCATATTTAAGTGTGAGATTTTAGTACATATATAAAGCAAGTGTTCTATCAAAAGTTGTATCAAAATATTGATGTACAGACTTTGTCAATGTGAGCATCTTTACTGTTGCCTTTCTATTAACTTAGAAGAACATAGGAATCCTGTATTTTTTATTATATGCTGTGCCATCTGAATGGATTGCTCATTTTTTTTTCTTCATTTTCCAGCTATGGGTTTCATTTGTTCAACCCAGCCAAGGCTATTGAATTCATTAAATTGCACTGGTCATCTTACCAATTTAGAGATATTAAAAATATACTGAAATATGATAAAATATGTTGAAATATGAAAAATGCTGAAAATTGTTTTTTGATGTTTTGCCACATAGGCTGTAGATGGGTTCTTCTGGGGAAATGGTAGAAATCACAGGGGGATGGGAGGATAAATTTTGCAACTATCAATTATGTTGTACTTGTATTTGTATAATCCCCTTTCTAAATCTTATCTGTTGTGCATCTTGTGCTGTGAGGTTTTTTTTTACCAATTTCCATGGATTTACTATATTATTTTTTCTATTATAGGCATTGTATAAGTCTCTATGAGCTTACATTGTGTCTCATTCTATGAGTCTTGTTTTAGACATGTATCTGCAGTCACACCAGAGAGCCAAATGCACCCTACAAAGGGGTGAGGCTTACAATACAATAGTTCGATAATCATGTTTTTTGAAGTCCCACACTAATGCCACTGATTTTTTTAGTTTATTATGTAACTATTGGCAATCCACTAGATTTGTATGGGTTTCCTAATACTTCTTTTTTGCTTTTATTGTTTACAGGAAGACATAAATTTTCAACCACTGCATAATCATTTAAGCTTAACTAGTCCAATTCTCAGCTCTCTGCCACAGCCAGGACATCCAGAATAGAGGATGGGATTTTTTGATAACTGGAGGTGAAAGAGAATCCGAAGTGATGAAACATGCTTCAGGGAGGTTTTCTCACTTGATCTATGTTTCACCTCTTACAATCTGGACTTTTGGTATGACTATAGCTATTAACAATCTGGGATATTATTATTCTATGTGATATGATAACTGGTCCTGGAGTATTTGGAGATAGCTCTTGTGCTCTTAATGGCCAATTATGTTAATAAGCAAACAGAAGTCAGTTTTATTTTGGTGTACAAGTCTCTTAAGGGAAACAAAACAAAGATTATGATTATGACCTATATGACAGTGAGGACAATTAACCAGTGGAACAGCTTGCCTCCAGAAATAATGGGCGCTCCATCACTGGAGATTTTTAAGAAGAAACTAGACAGTCATTTGTCTTAGATCATATAGGTTCTCCTGCTTGAACAGGGGGCTGAAGACCTCCAAGGTCCTTTCCAGCTCTGTTCTGTTCTGTTCTGCTGTGCTGTGCTGTGCTTCTATTCTATTCTATTCTATTCTATTCTATTCTATTCTATTCTATTCTTAATTAACAGTCAAAATAGAAATCTTTATGACTGCAAATGGATGTTTCATTACATGAAAATTAGTGAGACAGCATTTGCTTAGCATTTGCTTACCTTAGGGCTGGTAACTTTTCAGCTGGAAGAGAATTTAAGTGAATAATTGCATGAGGTAGTTTTCTGATATAATGGAATAAGAGGTTATACAATTTGGGGGGAGAGAATAAAGTTTTATTCTTCAAAAGGTACTTTAAGTATTACTATACTGTTGAAAAAAAATGCTGAGATGTCATGGTTCATAGCTGCAATAGGTTGTATTTCATTTTCTGTCCAATCCCTACTATAGACATTATTAGTTTGTATTGAATGGGAGACTGCCTTTTCAAACTGAGTTTTAATCTCCTTGTAAATGTTGTATAAGGGGATTTATTACTATATTATGCTAATGTTTGATGTCTTTTGATTAAATGCAGTGCTTTTTTTGTAAAAAAAAAAAAAAAAGGTGCCTGAACTCACACACATCATACAACCTGCCTTGCCTACCCTACAAGGTTCCATCCAAAAAAGGTGCTGAAACTCCATTCTGGGCATTCTATGAGAAAAAAAGCCCTGATTAAATGTATTTGACAATGTATAATTGTGTCTTTATCACCAAGTGAATATCCAAATACCACTTATATTGTAACTAAAATTCTTTCATTTTCTATTTAACAATATGCCACTAAATATATATTTATCAATTTTATATTTATGTATTAGTTTAAAGGCTTTTTATTTTATTATTATAGTCTAATATCTGGCAGGGAAATTGAGAAAAAAACTATCACCGTCATTACCCAGAGAGAAATTTTACAAGGAGTAAATGTCTGCTCTCAGGTTTTCCCAATAAGAGACATAGTAAATATTTTTATATTGATTGGCTAAATTTACATTGCCTTTCTTCTGGAAGCACAAAACACCATACATAGTTTTTTTTTTTTTCAATTTTCCAACACTACCACAATCACACACAGTGCAGACACAGGATAATGGGTTTAATTATCCCAAGTAATCTTTCATTGAAGAAAACAGACCTGAATCAACTTTGTTCTACTTTTAGGCAATACTTTTTATCAGTAGATAAGATAACACAACTGAAAACAGGAAAGAAGGAAAAATATGAGGTTTGTACTTGGTTATTTAGTACAGATGTACAGTAATAAGTGACAAGATTGTGCTCTAATATTCCCATCCTACAACTCTGTTTTCCATGCTCTGACTCTCTATTCATTCTGTCCATCCTTGACATTTTTTGATATTTTTTATATTCACCACATATCAAAATGCCTCCTCCAAAATTTTATCTAATCGAATTTCCCTCCTTTGTTTCCTTGCAGTTATGCCAGCTTTATCATAAATGAACATGGAGAATCAAACCACAGTGCCTTACTTTCTGCTGCTGGATTTTTCAAAAAATCGGCATCTGCAGCTTTTGCATTTCTTCTTCTTCTTTGTGTTATATCTCACTACTGTAACAACAAATTTTCTCATTATTTCTGCAGTTGCTTTTGATCGTCGACTGCACAGCCCCATGTACTTCTTTCTCATGAATTTGGGTTTGCAGGACCTGGGCATTGCTTCAGTGATTGCCCCAAAATCCATGATCAATTCGCTCATGGACAACAGATGCATCTCTTATGTTGGTTGTGTTGCTCAAATCTTCCTTTTTGTTTCTTTTGCAGCTTCTGATTTCTCCCTCTTGACAGTCATGGCATATGATCGATATATTGCCATTTGCCATCCATTGCACTATGAGATGGTAATGAATTGGAAATACTGTACTGAAATAATAATTCTAGTGTGGATTACAGGTCTCCTCTTTGGAATGTTGCATACCATTGGCACTTTTTCCATCCGTTTTTGTTCTAATATGGTCAACCAATTCTTCTGTGAAATTCCACAATTGCTAAAACTATCCTGCTCTGGATTAAATCTACTTGAGGTTGGTATTCTTGTGTCTGGTATCATTGTTGGACTAGGTTGTTTCACTTTTATTATTGTATCTTATGCAGTGATCTTTAGGACAGTGTTAAGAATCCCTTCTGAACAAGGAAGGCAAAAAGCCTTATCCACTTGTATTCCCCATCTTACAGTAGTGTCTGTGCTAGTATTAAGTGTATGCTTTGCCTATCTGAAACCTTCCTCTAACACTCCATCTTACATAGATTTGGGGTTGACTGTTGTTTATGCCCTCCTTCCACCTCTGTTCAATCCAATCATCTATAGCATGAGAAATAAGAATATCAAATGTGTCCTTTCTCAGCTGTGGAGATTGTGACAAATTCTTTTAATGTTATTTATATTCTATTTAGCCTGGTTTTTGTTTTTTTTCATCTTCCTGTCTGCTCTTTTACTTCTGTGAATAAAGGAATATGGTAGAAAGGGATAGTTGGGATGGAGGCAAATCCAACCTATTAAACCTATCACTCCATATATTGCTTAGCCAATGTCTCTCATCTCTAATACTGTCCATACACTTTACAGGTACTAAACATAGATGATGATGATGATGATGATGATAATAATAATAATAATAATAATAATAATAATAATAATAATAATAAACCCCCAGTGAGGCACTACCTTGACGTGGTTGTGGGGCTTGTGTACTCTGAGGAAGATGAGAGCTATGCCAGAGGTTCAACCATACTGGACAGGTCTCATCAGAGGAGTCAGACAAAGAGTGTCTCTCCCATAAAAAATATGGTGAGACGTAAATTGCAGAATGCCATACCGGCTCGGACGTCGCCCGGGTTAACAAGGTCCGCACTAGATATTGGAGTTCCTGGATATCTGGTGAAAAATGGGTTACAGGACTCAGGACTGTTGGCTGAGCAACCAGGGCCAGCAGCTGCAGAACTACTGGAAGAAAAGGTGTTTACCCGTCGCAGATACACAGTGATGGAAAACAAAGAAATAATGATCTGTTACTACAGATCAAGTCCAACAAGAAGAGGATATCTAAAACGAATGCACCAGTTCTGGAAAGAACAACATCCAGAATCAGAAATAACAGAACAGAGACTAGCAGATCAACGCCGATTTATAACACGAAATAAAGTATTCACAGAAACAGAATTGGACGAACTGCAAAGGTTTACCCAGGGCAAAGAAATCAAAGCCTTACCAGAAGTAATTCAGAATGTAGAGGCAAACCAGGGGGAGTTGGCAGTGAAGGAATCTAGCAGAGATATACAACTGTTCTCATTTGGAAACCAGGCACCTCTACCTCAGGAAGAACAAAACCCTCTAACTAAAGAAATAAAAGAATTGAAACAAAGAATAACTGAGCATCTAGAACAGCACAAAAACAACAGAATAAGGCTACCTGCATTGAAGCTTGTTCCAAAGAAACAGCTAGCACAAGCATTAAAAGATGCAAATATTGCAATATCAAGTATAAGCACCAATTCATTGCAAGAAACAAACCAACTAATGTACAGCACAGCTGCAGTTATAACAGAATACCTGGGATGCAAAATCAACAAAGAAGAAAAACAAACAAACAGTGCACCAGAAAAATGGAAGGTTAGACTAGAAAATAAGATCAGCAAGTTAAGATCACATGCAAGCAAGCTAGAACAGATGAAAGAAAAGAAGCTGAAGAACAAGAAGACCAAAGAATACCTAATCAAGAAATACCACTTAGAAACAAGGAAGATCAAGGAAGCACTGGAAATAATAAAGCAACAAATAACAGCTATAGCCAGGAAAATCAGTAGATATGAAGCTCGAATTGCAAACTATAGGCAGAACCTCCAATTTCAATCCAATCAGAAACGTTTCTACCAATCCATCAATGGAGAAACTGCAAGGAATCAGTCAGTACCTGACAAGGAAGAAACAGTGCACTTCTGGAAGCAGATATGGGATAACCCAAAGAAATACAACAAGGATGCGGCTTGGTTAAAAGAGGTGGATGCAAATAAAACAGAAGTTGAAATGAAAGAACTAGTAATAACAACAAAAATGGTAGAAAAAAGAGCAAAGAAAATCAAAAATTGGTCAGCACCAGGTGAAGATGAACTGCATGGGTTTTGGTTGAAACATCTAACTGTTATACACCCACTCATTGCCAAACAGTTCAACAATATACTACAAGGAGGAGAAATTGAAAAGTGGCTAACAACTGGGAAAACCTACCTAATAATGAAAAATCCAGCAAAAGGGGCAACACCAGGTAACTACAGGCCAATTACCTGCTTACCAACAACTTTCAAATTACTAACTGGTGTGGTAGCTGATGCAGTACAACAGCATCTAGTTGAAAACAATCTCTTTCCACCTGAGCAGAAAGGAAACCGCCCCAATAGCAGAGGAACAAAAGATCAACTCCTAATAGACAAAATGATCTTGGAAAACTGCAAGAGAAGGAAGACCAACCTGAATGTGGCATGGATTGACTACAAAAAGGCATTTGACTCTCTGCCACATGATTGGATAATAAAGTGCCTAGAAATAACAGGAGTCAGTAGAAACATCAGAAAATTTGTGCAAAGATTGATGGCACAATGGAAGACACAGTTGCAGATCAATGGTGAGAGGCTGGGAGAGGTTAATATCAAGAGAGGAATATTTCAAGGAGATTCATTATCACCATTACTATTTGTTATTGCACTGTTTCCTCTGTCAACAATACTGAATAACTCAGGACATGGCTATCAAACATCAAAAACATCTGCCAGACTATCCCACCTCCTTTATATGGATGATCTGAAGCTGTATGGAAAAACATCATCTGAAATAGAATCGCTGCTCAACACTGTCCGTATATATAGCCAAGATATTGTAATGGAGTTTGGCTTGGACAAATGTGCCACACTTACTATCAAACAAGGAAAAATAGTGAAAACTGAAGGAATCAAGATGCCCCACGAAAATAACATTAAGAGTCTGGATGAGGAAGAATACTACAAATACTTGGGTATCCTTCAAGCTGACAACATCAAGCACACTGAAGTCAAGAAAAAGATTAGAGGTGAATACATCAAGAGAGTGAAGAAGATCTTAAAATCCAAACTCAATGGAGGAAATACCATAAAGGCAATCAACACCTGGGCAATCCCAGTCATTAGGTACACAGCTGGAATAGTGGACTGGACTCAAGCAGAACTAAAAGCAATGGATAGGCAGACCAGAAAAATAATGACAATGAATCATGCCCTTCATCCACGCAGTGACATTGATAGACTTTATCTACCAAGGCAAATAGGTGGGCGTGGAATGCTACAAGTACATCAGATGGTTGAAGAAGAAAAAATGGCTTTGGAAGAATATCTGAAGAACAATGATGAAGATGCACTGAAATTAGTATATCAGGAAGGCTTACTAACTACTGGAGAGACCAAACTGGCCTACAAGAAAGACCAAATGAAGAACAGAATAGAGGCATGGGAAGACAAAGCACTACATGGCCAATACATTAAAAAAATAGCTGGGAAAGCAGATAATAACAAGACCTGGCAATGGCTAAGAGCAGGAAAATTGAAGAAAGAGACCGAGGGACTAATTCTGGCTGCACAAGACCAAGCCTTAAGGACAAATGCATACAAAGTCAAAATTGAGAAGACAGCAACAGACAGTAAGTGCCGCCTATGCAAAGAAGCTGAAGAAACAGTGGACCACTTGGTAAGCTGTTGCAAGAAGATTGCACAGACTGATTACAAGCAGCGGCATGACAAAGTAGCAACAATGGTGCATTGGAAGATCTGCAAAAAATATCATTTGCCTGTAAGCAAAAACTGGTGGGATCATAAAATAGAGAAAGTCATAGAAAATGATAAAATTAAACTGCTCTGGGACTTCAGAATTCAAACAGACAAGCACCTGCAACATAACACCCCAGACTTAACAATTGGTCGATGAAGTGGATGTGGCAGTGCCTGAGATAGCAGAATAGAAGAGAAAGAACTGGAGAAGATAACAAAATACAAAGACCTACAAATAGAAATAGAAAGACTGTGGCAAAAGCAAGCAAGGGTAGTACCAATAGTCATAGGCTCCTTGGGTGCAATCCAAAACAACTGGAGCACCACTTTAACACCATTGGCATTGTAATGTCCGCTATTAGTCACATTGCAAAAGGCAGCCTTATTAGGAACCTGCTTCCATCCTGCCAATATCTGTAATCCCAGCAAACTCCACATCTGCCTATCCAGGTCCTGGTAAGTGACTCGATAAAGTAGACACAATGCCAATCCATTCTGAAACATCTGGCTGACTGTGCGACTGATCGATAATAATAATAATAATAATATAATAATAATAATCATAATAATAATAATCATAATAATAATATAGAATAATAATGTTGGCAGGGAAAAAAACCCTTGGAGGTCATCCGAGTCCAACCCCCTGCTGCAGGCAAGGGAAACCCCACACCATTCGGAACAAATGCTGTCTAGTCTCTTCTTAAAAACTCCCAGTGTTGGAAGCATTCACGCTTCTGGAGGCCGGTGGTTCCCCTGATTAATTGTTCTCACTGTCCGAAGTTTCTCCTTATTCTAGGTTGCTTCTCTCCTTGATTAGTTTCCACCATTGCTTCTTGTCCTGCCTTCAGGCACTTTGGAAAATAGCTTGACTCCCTCTTCTTTGTGGCAGCCCCTGAGATATTGGAACACTGCTATCATGTCCCCCCTGTCCTTCTCTTCATTAAACTAGACATACCCAATTCCAGCAACCGTTCCTTATATGTTTTAGCCTCCAGTCCCCTAATCATCTTTGTTGCTCTTCTCTGTACTCTTTCTAGAGTCTCAACATCTTTTTTACATTGTGGTGACCAAAACTGGATGCAGTATTCCAAGTGTGGCCTTACCAAGGGATTGTAAAGTGGTATTAATACTTCACGTGATCTTGATTCTATCCCTCTGTTAATGCAGCCTAGCACTGTGTTGGCCTTTTTGGCAGCTGCAGGACACTGCTGGCTCATATTTAGGTGACTGTCTATTAGGACTCTGAGGTCCCTCTCACAGTTACTACTATTGAGCAAGGTGCCACCTATGCTGTACTTGTGCAATTTGTTTTTCTTGCCTAAATGTAGAACTTTGCTTTTTTCACCATCGAATTTCATTTTGTTAGATAGTGTCCAGTGTTCACGTCTGTCCAGATCCTCCTGTCTTCTGGAGTGTTGGCTATTCCTGCCAGCTTGGTGTCATCTGCAAATTTGATGAGTTCCCCATCTATCCCTTCATCCAAATCATTGATGAAGATGTTGAAGAGAACTGGGCCCAGAACAGAGCCCTGGGCACCCCACTACACACTTCCCTCCATGTAGATGCAGTTCCATTGCTGAGGACCACTTGCTGAGTACGACCGGTCAGCCAGCTACAGATCCATCTGGTGGTGATTCTGTCTACTCCACATTTTTCTATCTTATCAAATAGTAGTTTGTGATCTACTTTATCAAATGCCTTACTGAAGTCCAAGTAAATTACGTCCACAACATTCCTCTGATCCACTAATTTTGTCATTTGGTCAAAAAATGCAATAGGATTTGTCTGGTATGATCTATTTTTGACAAACCCATGTTGGCTTTTAGTAATGACTTTGTTTGCCTCTAGGTGTTTGTTGATTCATTGTTTATTATCTTTTGCAGGATCTTCCCAGGTATTGAGGTCAGGCTGATAGGTCTGTAATTTCCTGGGTCCATTTTTTCCCCTTTTTTGAGGTTGGGAACTACATCAGCTCTTTTCAAGTCCTCTGGTAGTTCCCCTGTGCTCCAGGATCTTTGAAAAATATAGTTCAGTGGTTGCGAGATCACATCTGCAAGTTCCTTGAGAACCCTGGGGTGTAATCCATCTGATCCTGGTAATTTGAACTCATCTAGGCTGGACAGGTGCTCACTTACCATTTTCTTGCCTATCTTAACTTGTGTTTGTGTTTTTATTCTGTTTTTTATGGCACTATTTTTGATAGGTTGGTCTGTTTTTCCCCTTTGTGTAAAGACAGATGCAAAAAACAAATTAAATAGTTCTGCTTTCTCCCTGTTGCTTGTCACCTTCTTGCCACTTTCACCCACTAATGGACCAATCATTTCCTTCACTTTTTTCTTGTTTTTTACATGTTGAAAGAAGCTTTTTTGTTATTTTTGACTTTGGTCGCAAGCCTTAGTTCATTTTGAGCCTTGGCTTTCCTCACTTCATCTTTGCAGGCTCGGGCTATTTGCTGATATTCTGACTTAGTTATATGCCCCTCTTTCCACTTTCTATACTTGTCCTTTTTATCTTTCAATTTTTCAGAGAGTTCTTTATGTAGCCATGCTAGTTTCTTTTGTTTGGCAGTGATGGCATTTTACATGCTAACAATTCCTTATGTTTAGTGATGTGAGTATCAAGATGTAATGTCACCAATCTGGTTTCATTCCTACAACAGGAGTAGGCATCATTATCTCCTGGTTTCTAGAATGGTGCCTTAAGCACCCAAGAAACAGGTTCCTATTTATTTTAGCTCAAGAGGTTTTTTTTTCCGCTCTCTCTTTTAGAAGTTCTTTGACAAAACCAGGCACTTGGTATGGTGGCAGGATGGGTGAACTGGTACTATCTACCATAACTGTTTTACAATCATGACAATATAAAAAAGCAAGAAGTCTATGTCATTATTGTAATAGAACATCATATAAGCTTACTTTAACTGTGCAACATAATGTAAATTGGAAGAGATAAGAAATACTCCATTGTCTAGTAACTGAAGAAAAAAAATCTAAATTGATTTGTACCAGAATGATATTTTATTAAAATTTGCTGAAGAACAGTTTCATCCGAGCTGCTGATGACATATGCTAAAAGCTTTATCCAGGATTGTGGATAAGGCTTATGCCTGGCAGGGGGGGAATGTGTGAGTGGCAGGTGCAGGCACACACTCAAAGCTCCATTTGTGAGAATGGTGGGAGTGCATGCCCTCCCCTCATGCAAATGGAGCTTCGCCCGTGAGCGGAGGGTGCATGCGCTCAATCACAAAACTCCCTCGCATGATTGGCAGGCACTTGCACTGGTGCACAAAGCTCCACTATCCTGATGGTCAAATCTGGCCCTAGGTTCTTCTTTGATTTACCTTCCCAATAAGCAACCAAGTTGGAAGATTATTTAAAGGCAGCTTGTTAGAGTATGCTGATAAAATGGGATGTCTCCATAAAAAATGAGAGAGAGAGAGAGAGAGAGAGAGAGAGAGAGAGAGAGAGAGAGAGAGAGAGAGAGAGAGAGAGAGAGCAATCTTGAGCCCTGTGTGTTTCATTCCTTTTCATGGTTAACAGAACAAAGAAAATGCAAGAGGAAGTTGATTGGATTGATATATATATATATATATATATATATATATATATATATATATATATATATATAATATATATATATAATGTTTTTCGAGGTTTTCGCGGGTGTTTGTATGTAGGTCTTTGGTTGTTCGGGTTTTCTCCTGCGTAAAATTGGAAGTGTCTTGGCGACGTTTCGACGAAGTCCATTCGTCATCTTCAGGCTGGTGTTTCAGCTTCGTGCTTCGTGCTTCGAGCAGCAAGCACGAAGCTGAAAACACTCGAAAACAACTTGCTGCTCGAAGCACGAAGCTGAAAACACCAGCCTGAAGATGACGAATGGGACTTCGTCGAAACGTCGCCAAGACACTTCCAATTTTACGCGGGAGAAAACCCGAACAACCAAAGACCTATATATATATATATATATATATATATATATATATATATATATATATATATATGTATGTATATATCAGCTATGCAAGTAAAAATATGACTCTTGGGTATGCTCATATTAAAATCAATAAATAGTTGAACACCAAGAGAATAAAATTATACAAAAGTTAAAAATGTTAAAACTTTTATTTACTAAACCTAGCTTTCGTCAAGAGCTCTTGACATCATCAGGGTGTAAACAGCAGTCATTGGGAGGGCTTATATGCAGCCTCCAAGCAATGGATTGACTGGTTACGAGCTAGGCAATGCCTTACTGATAGGCACACACTCCAGAATGACTCCTCCCAAGAATATAGGGAGGAGAATGATGATAGATCTAAGGGAGTGATGGAAAGGAATAGGAGGGAGAGCGGTGCAGGACGGGATGGCACATGGGGGCTACGATCTGAGAGAAAAGGAGGATTGGAATGTGGCTCAGAGGGGATGGTTGGAGGAACTAAAAGGAAGCAGAAAACAGCAACTACTGCCCATGACAGACAGAATCACAAACGGGAAACTAGTGAAACATGCACTAACTGCAAGGAAAGGGGAAATACCCCAGCTAATTTTAGAACTAGCGAGAAAGACACACATAACAGCACACGTAGAAAGGGTGAGAAACAATTACACCCTAATGCAGGACACACAGTTGGATTACAACGCACACAGCTGGGACCTATGACACGATCCAAGAGCCGAGCGCAAATGATTGGAGGCTGCATATAAGCCCTCCCAACGACTGCCGTTTAAACCTGATGATGTCAAGAGCTCTTGACGAAAGCTAGGTTTAGTAAATAAAAGTTTTAACATTTTTAACCTTTGTATAATTTTATTCTCTTGGTGTTCAACTATTTATTGATTTTAATATATATATATATGTATATATATATGTAGGTCTTTGGTTGTTCAGGTTTTCTCCCGCGTAAAATTGGAAGTGTCTTGGCGATGTTTTGACGAAGTCCCATTTGTCATCTTCAGGCTGGTGCTTTCAGCTTCGTGCTTCGAGCAGCAATGTGTGGTCTTAGCTGTTTCTTCCTTTTAACTGCCAATGGGGGTATGAACTGATTGGGTGGGAGCTTGGCTGTGTTCTGATTGGGTGGAGGTGTGTTCTGATTGGTTAGGGGCTTGTCTGTGCTCTGATTGGCTGGGGGCTTGTCTGTGCTCTGATTGGCTGGGGGGTTGGCTGTGCTCTGATTGGCTGGGGGAGTGTTCTGTTTGGTTGTGCTTAGGTTAGTCTGAGTTGCAGAGGGGTTTAAGATTTTGGGCTACCTTGCTATTTTTTGGCTTCGCGTTCGTGGTCATGCCTCCTCTTCATGGAGGGTGTCAGTTTGCTTCATGTATGGATTGGAGGGGTTTTAAGTGGCTAATGATGCAGCTGTGGTCTGGCTTCTGGTTTGTGGTCGTACCTCATCATCGGTGTGGCTTTGGGTTTGTTTTTTGTGTGGATGTGTCATGGTGACATCCTGTGTGGTTTTTGTGAGTGTGGGTCTGGTATCATTTTTTGTGTTAGGGAGTCGTTTGTCAATAAGGGCGGGTTTCCAAATGGCTGGTAGGCGGGAGGTATCATCTCGCTTATTCATGCTGTGTGGGCGTTTTTCTATCTCGATGGCTTCTCTGATTATTCTGTTATTAAAATGTTCACTTTTGGCAATGGTTCTGGTATTTTTAAAGTCAATTTCATGTCCTGTGGCTTTAAGGTGTTGGACCAGGGAAGATGTTGGTTCCTCTTTTTTGACTGAGTTCTTATGTTCTTCAATGCGTGCACTTATTCTTCTGTTGGTTTGTCCGATGTATGTGGTGGGACAAGTGGTGCATGGGATTTCGTATACTCCTTGATTTTCTAATTCAATTTTATCTTTGGGGTTTCTAAGGATGGTGGATATTTTTCTGTTTGTGCAGAATGCTGTTTTGATGTTGTGTTTATGGAGGATCTTACTGATTCTGTCTGTGGTGCCTTTTATGTATGGGAGGAGGGCTTTGCCGTTTTCTTGTTCTTTGTCTTGGATTTTAGTGTCAAGGCTTCTTTGATAGGCACTTGGGTGAAGAGGGATATGACATCGAAGCTTCACCCAAGTGCCTATCAAAGAAGCCTTGACAGCTATTCAAAACAAATATAACCCCCCCCAAACACATCTTAGATCTGACCAACCACTGCCTATCCAACACATACTTCATCTATAATGGACAAAAATACAAACAAACAGAAGGAGCACCCATGGGATCACCCCTCTCACCTGTCATTGCCAACCTCTACATGGAACACTTTGAAACCCAAGCTCTAGAAAAAGCGGATCACAAACCCAAACTCTGGCTCAGATACGTAGACGACACCTTCATAATCTGGCCACATGGGAAAGAAAAACTGGACAACTTCCTCACACACCTCAACAGCCTACACCCCAAAATACAGTTCACCATGGTAACAGAAGCTAACAACCAACTTTTCTTCCTGGATGTCTTAGTCTACAAGAAATCCAATGGCTCCCTAGGACACACCATCTACCAGAAGAAAACACACACAAACCGCTATCTGCACGCTCTTTCACACCACCACCCAGCACAGATCAACTCTGTAGCCAAGACACTCATCTCCAGAACAAAACGCTTAGCTGACGAACAACACCTAAAAACTGAACTACACACTCTCACCAATGTACTAACATCCAATGGATTCCATAGAAATAAGATTACAAACCTAATCAAAAAAGAAACCCCCACTAAAATCCAAGACAAAGAACAAGAAAACGGCAAAGCCCTCCTCCCATACATAAAAGGCACCACAGACAGAATCAGTAAGATCCTCCAAGGTCCCTTCCAATTTTACTACTACTATTATTAGATGATTGCACTTTAAACGTATCCTTGACACCAGCACCCAGCCCTTTCCTGTTTTTACTTCGTACACTCCCATTCACTCCTCCATCACTAATTCTTGGACTAAGTGGGATCCTCTCCCCCGCATCCCTAATTACTGTCAATTTACTTTACTGATAGTAAATATGGATATTTGGCAGCTCTGGAATTCCATTGGCTGGGGAAATATACTGGAGAAAATGACATTGTGGGTTTGATAAGGACCCCTTGTGATGGAATGCTACTGTTACTACAACTGTGTAGTAACGTATAATCTTATTTTGAATTTGAGGAGATGTCGTCTGTTTGAGATAGTCCAGTCAAGAAACCAACTCCTCAATTTTAACTAGAATCATAAAATACGAACAAAATAAATGTTCAATCAAAAATACCAGCAAGGAAGAAATGAAGTTGCCCAGAGCCAATAAGAACTGGGGAACTAAACATTCCTGGGGTCATCATAAGTTTCAGGAAATCAAATGCACCAGTCCAATAAAAGGAGACTTTTGTAAAGAAATACTATTACATATTTCACATAGTCTTGATTCTATCCCTCTATTAATGCAGCCTAGGATTGCATTGGCCTTTTTGTATGCTATTGCACACTGTTAACTCATATTTAAGTAATTGTCCTTTTGGACTCCAAGATCCCTCTCACAGTTACTGACATTGGGCCAAGTTTGATCTAGTCTATACCTGTACAGTTGGTTTTTCTTGCCTAAGTCTAGAAGTCAAACCTACACAAAAGAATATTCTCAGACTGATGGTTGGCACCTGGCTAAGAGTAGATAAGGTCCAACAGCATTCAAAGGGGAGGGAGGGTGTCAGACTTTGCCCTCTTATGCCAACATAGGGATTCCAGACTAATTTCCCATTTGACTACTCCCCTGACTCAGCCAGTTGTTGATTGGTAGCTTCTGGCTTGCAGAAAATGACTAGTCCTGATTTTTGATGAAGTGAGTACTAGGATGTAATGTGATTATTGGAAAACATGTGTATATGTGAATTTGTTTAAACTATGTGGCTATTTTCCCCTGTGCTTTATGTATAAAATGGTTTCCCCTACAATGCTTACACATAATATGATTCATTAATGCTTCAGCTACTCCAACGTACACAAGACTCTATGCTATTCTCTACTTAAATTGTTAATTGTGCAGACTCTGTGATATTTAGTTCCTTTGCGTCCGTCTTTAATTCCTTCAAACAGCCTGGAAAAGTCATTGTAACTTTTATATTTTTGGACAAATGGTTTGCCACTGCTTCCTTCCTAGAACTGAGAAAGGGAATGACTAGTCTAAAGTCACCCATTTGGTTTCCTTCCTACAGCAGGACTAGATATCACTGTCACCTTAAACACTGCACCAAACAGGTTCTCACACATTTCAGCTGAAGAGTATTCCTTCTTTCCCTTAGACATGTTTTAGCTAAACCAGGCGCATGGCATAGTGAGCAGTATGGGTGAGCAGATACTATATACTGCCACCAATATGAATATGCAGTATGAAAAGCAAGAAGTCTATGTCATGATTGTAATAGAATATTGTGTAATTGTATTGTATTGTAATGCAACATGATATAAATTGGAAGAAATAAGACCTGCTCCAATGTCTAGTTCCTGAAAAAATGAGTATAAATAGATGTACATCAGAATGATAATTGATTAAAGCTGCTATTAAGATATACTAAAAAGCTTATTCAAGTTTTGTGTTTCCTATGCCACCATCTGTCGAATACATTTTAAAATTTATATATATTATAAATTTATAATATATATTATTATTATATTATATATATTATAAATTTATAATATATATTATTATATATATTATACATATATATATATATATATATATATATATATATATATATATATATGTTTTCTGAGGTTTTCGCGGGTATTTGTATGTAGGTCTTTGGTTGTTCGGGTTTTCTCCCGCGTAAAATTGGAAGTGTCTTGGCAACGTTTTGACGAAGTCCCATTCGTCATCTTCAGGCTGGTGTTTTCAGCTTCGTGCTTTGAGCATCAATGTGTGGTCTTAGCTGTTTCTTCCTTTTAACTGCCAGTGGGGGTATGAACTGATTGGGTGGGAGCTTGGCTGTGTTCTGATTGGCTGGAGGTGTGTTCTGAATGGTTAGGGGTTTGGCTGTGCTCTGATTGGCTGGGGGAGTGCTCTGTTTGGTTGTGCTCAGGTTAGTCTGAGTTGCAGAGGGGTTTAAGATTTTGGGCTGCCTTGTTATTTTTTGGCTTCTCGTTCGTGGTCGTGCTTCCTCTTCATGGAGGGTGTCAGTTTGCTTCATGCATGGATTGGAGGGGTTTAAAGTGGCTAATGATGCAGCTGTGGTCTGGCTTCTGGTTTGTGGTCGTGCCTCGTCATCGGTGTGGCTTTGGGTTTGTTTTTTGCATGGATGTGTGGTGGTGACATCCTGTGTGGTTTTTGTGAGTGTGGGTCTGGTATCATTTTTTGTGTTAGGGAGTCGTTTGTCAATAAGGGCGGGTTTCCAAATGGCTGGTAGGCGGGAGGTATCATCTCGCTTATTCATGCTGTGTGGGCGTTTTTCTATCTCGATGGCTTCTCTGATTATTCTGTTATTAAAATGTTCACTTTTGGCAATGGTTCTGGTATTTTTAAAGTCAATTTCATGTCCTGTGGCTTTAAGGTGTTGGACCAGGGAAGATGTTGGTTCCTCTTTTTTGACTGAGTTCTTATGTTCTTCAATGCGTGCACTTATTCTTCTGTTGGTTTGTCCGATGTATGTGGTGGGACAAGTGGTGCATGGGATTTCGTATACTCCTTGATTTTTTAATTCAATTTTATCTTTGGGGTTTCTAAGGATGGTGGATATTTTTCTGTTTGTGCAGAATGCTGTTTTGATTTTGTGTTTATGGAGGATCTTACTGATTCTGTCTGTGGTGCCTTTTATGTATGGGAGGAGGGCTTTGCCGTTTTCTTATTCTTTGTCTTGGATAACAATCTGAAATATTGTTATTCTATGGGATAGTTATAACTGGTCCTGGAGGAAGCTGTTGTGTTCTTAATGTCCAATTATGTTAATAAGCACAGAAGAGTCAGTTTCATTTTGGTATACAAGTCTCTTGAGAGAAACAAAACAAAGATTAATGAACAGAAATTTCTATGACTGCAGATAGATAAAATTTTCAATACATGAAAAATAGTGAGACAGCATTTACTTAGTGGTAAGATATCTAACAGTCTTAAAGGCATGGAATACATAACCTATATAGAGACAAATCGTCAGTTATTAATGGAAAGTTTAACAAAAAAGATATTTCCCATTTTTTCTGGCACAAATTGGTGTTTATTTCAGTATGTTTTATGTGTTATATTTCAGGTTGGTTTTATAACTTTTCTGCTGGAAGAGAATTTAAGTGAAAAATTGCATTAGGCAGTTTTCTAATATAATGGAATAAGAAGTTAGGCAATTGGGGGGGGGAGAGAATAAAGGTTTCTTTATGTTTTTTTCCCCCAAAATATTGGAATTAGGCAGTATATATAAAGATACTATTAAGTAGAATACCATTTGGAGAGATTTTTGTGTAGACTTCAAATAATGAATAAACTACATATTTAACATTTGTGCCTTTTCCACATGATAATTATAAAGAATAAAAAACAGTTATAATTTGCAGAAATCTGGACCAAACTTTCATGCATGAAGTGATCACTAATAGGTGATCAGCACTGGCAAAGTCATTTCATAATCTATCTGTATATGAATAAAAGAACTGTGTAGTAAGATTACTAAATTTCTTTTTATTATTCTTTTTAAACAAGTTAAGTATTATTCTTCAAAATGTGCTTTAAGTATTACTGTTGAAAAAAAAATGCTGAGATATCATGGTTCATAGCTGTAATAGGTTGTGTTTCATTTTCTGTCCAAACTCTACTACAGACATTATTAGTTTGCATTGAATGGGAGACTGCCTTTTCAAACAGAGTTTTAATTTTCTTGTAAATGTTGGATAAGGGGATTTATTACTATATTCTGCTAATGTTTGATGTCTTTTGATCAAATGTATTTGACATTGGTATAATTGTGTCTTTATCACCAAGTGAATATCAAAATACCAGTTATATTGTAACTAAAATTCTTTCATTTTATAATTAACAATATGCCATTAAATATATATTTATCAATTTTATATTTATGTATAAAGGCTTTCTATTTTATTATTTTAGCCTAATATCTGGCAGAGAAATTGAGAAAAAAATATCACCGTCATTACCCATAGCAAAATTATATGAGGAGCAAATGTCTGCTCTCAAAATTTCCAAATAAGAAACATAGCAAATATTTTTATATTGATTGGCTAAATTTACATTGTCTTTCTTCTGAAAGCACAAAGCACCATACATAGTTTTTTTTTCAACACTACCACAATCCTGTAGGAGTGCAGACACATGATGATGGATTTAATTATCCCAAGTAATCTTTTATTGATGAAAATAGACCTGAATGGCTTTGTTCTACTTCTAGGCAATGCTTTTTATCAGTAGATAAGATAACACAACTGAAAACAGGAGAGAAGAAAAAACATGATGTAGTACAGTAATAATTGACAAGAGTATGCTCTAATATTCCCATCCTACAACTCTGTTTTCCATGCTCTGACTCTCTGTTCATTCTGTCCATCCTTGACATTTCTTGATATTTTTTATTTTCACCACATATCAAAATACCACCTCCAAAATTTTATCTAACCGAATTTCCCTCCTCCATTTTCTTGCAGTTATGCCAGCTTTGTCATAAATGAAAATGGAGAATCAAACTACAGTGCTTTACTTTCTGCTGCTGGAATTTTCAAAAAATCATCATCTGCAGCTTTTGTATTTCTTCTTCTTCTTTGTGTTATATCTCACTACTGTAACAACAAATTTTCTCATTATTTCTGCAGTCGCTTTTGATCGTCGACTGCACAGCCCCATGTACTTCTTTCTCATGAATTTGGCTCTGCAAGACGTGGGCATTGTTTCTGTCATTGTCCCAAAATCCATGATCAATTCTCTCATGAACAACAGATGCATCTCTTATGTTGGCTGTGTTGCTCAAGTCTTCCTCTTTGTTTCTTTTGCAGCTTCTGATTTCTTCCTTCTCACAGTCATGGCATATGATCGGTATGTTGCCATTTGCCATCCATTACATTATCATGTAATGATGAATTGGAAAGCCAGCACTGAAATAATGATATTTGTATGGGTTTCAGGTTTTCTCTGTGGAATCTTGCACACAACTGGTACTTTTTCAGTTCTGTTTTGTACTAATGTGATCAACCAATTCTTTTGTGAAATTCCACAATTGCTAAAACTATCCTGCTCTGGATTAAATCTACTTGAGGTTGGTATTCTTGTATCTGGTATCATTGTTGGACTAAGTTGTTTCACTTTTATTATTGTATCTTATGCAGTGATCTTTAGGACAGTGTTAAGAATCCCTTCTGAACAAGGAAGGCAAAAAGCCTTATCCACTTGTATTCCCCATCTTACAGTAGTGTCTGTGCTAGTATTAAGTGGATGCTTTGCCTATCTTAGACCTTCCTCAAAAACTCCATCTTATATAGATTTTGGGTTGACTGTTCTGTATGCTCTCCTTCCACCTCTGTTCAATCCAATCATCTATAGCATGAGAAATAAGAATATCAAATGTGTCCTTTCTCAGCTGTGGAGATTGTGACAAATTCTTTTAATGTTATTTATATTCTATTCAGCATCATTTTCCTGTCTTTTTTTTACTTCTGTGAATAAATATGATAGAAAGGGATAGTTGGGATGGAGGCAAATCCAACTTCTCAAACTTAAAGAACCTATCACTCCATATATTGCTTAGCCAATGTCCCACATCTCTGATTACTGTCCATGCACTTTACAGATGCTAAACATGGATTCTTGGCAGCTGCAGCATTTTACATGCTAACAATTCCTTATGTTTAGTGAAGTGAGTACCATGGTGTAATGCAAATGGGGGAAACACCTGAAATGCAGAGGAGCTTTAAATGATGTGTTCTGTTTTTCTTTATATGAAATGGCTTCCCCCTAATGCTGCCCCTCTATTGCTGGGACCCCTAAGGCTTTAAGACGGGACTGGATTTCTGCTTGAACAGGAGGTTGGACTAGAAGAGCTCCAAGATCCATTCCAGCTCTATTCCGATTGATTGGTCCATAATATGGCCAGTTAAAGCTCCAGAGTTTCCAAAGTATGTAGACCTCTATAACACTTCCCTCCTGAAATGGTTATTTCCTCACAAACTTTGATATTTTGCTCCTTTCAGTGAGCCTCAAGTCCTGGCAACTGTGCTCTATATTTTTCCTGGCAACATTTTTTTCCAGAAAAGTTTGCCATTGCCTCCATTCAAGGGCTCAGAGAGAGAGACTGGCCCAAAGTCATACAGCTGGCTACATTCCTAATGTGGAATAGAAGTCCCAGTCTCCTGGTTTCTAGTCCAATGGCTTAACTTCTATATCTTATTGGTTTCCAGATTCTTTAGCTCTGAATATTTCTTTTCTTTAGAAGTGCTTTGGCAGGACCAAATATCTAGCAGGGGTGTGCAAACTGTGTGAATTGATACTATCTCATGTAACCTTTTGATAACCAAAGGAAATAAAAAAGCAAGAAATTAAATTAAGATAATGCATAATTCTACTAGAACTTCAAATAAGCTTTTAGAAGTTTTACAACTTAATACAAAATGGAAGAGATAAGGCATGTTCCTTCGTCCAATATCTTGAGAAGGGAAGATAGAATCTACGCTAGTGGTTCTCAACCTGTGGGTCGCGACCCCTTTGGGGGTCAAATGACCCTTTCACAGGGGTCGTCTAAAACCATCAGAAAACATATTTCCGATGGTCTTAGGAACCTGTCTCACTTTCAACTCCCCCTAAAATTCTTCATTCAGGCAGGTTTCCAGAGTTCAATGGTCTTAGGAACCTGTCTCACTTTCAACTCCCCCTAAAATTCTTCATTCAGGCAGGTTTCCAGAGTTCGGTCGGCAGGATGCAGGTAACCTCTCCCCCCTGTCCTGCCACCTCCCACGGCACTGCGCCTCTCCATGTCCCACGTCTCAAGCCTCCATGGCACAGAACTGCTGGCATGGTCCTCACTGGCCGCTGATGCACTCCCCGCCACCGGCAACCATGCAAGCCCTGGCAATTGCTCCAGCCAAAGAAGTGGGTGGCTGGGAGGCCGCCGCGGTGCCGATCTTCTGTGCCTGTCAGCTGGCAACCCCCTGAATATGTGCTTGTCAGCTGGGAGGTCTGGCGACGGAGCCGGCCAGTGTGGAGGGCGATGGGGAGGTGGCGGCTTGGCAAGTGGGTTCCCACCAGCCTGTGAATGTCGGGCCCATGGGGGCTCAACACAGAGTCAACAGTCCAATATAACTTCCCTCCTCAGATGAGAAAGAAGGAATCTCTCCTGCCCATGTCCCCCCTCCAAGGATATTGTAAGGACCCACTTCAATCCCTCATCTTAAGAAAGCAGAACTCTTGGAAACAATTTCTTCCAACAGGAACTTTTATTAAGAGTAATTGATAGCAGGCATAACAGGATCTGTTATGGAGGGATTCCTTTACAGATCAACACTTTAAAGTGTCCCCAAGCAAACCCCACCCCACAGTTCATTTGGACAGTTCAGATCGGCCAATGCCCAGGTGTTAAGTCCATTGTAGGAAAGGGGAGATAACATTGGTCTGGTTCCGGTCATAGCATGATGGTCAAGCAGCTCTTTGCACCTTCTTTTGAGACCAGACAAATAAGCCAGGCTCTGGAGATTGTATTTCTTTCTCCTCCCCACTTTTCCTAGCTGACAGGTTAGGGAGAAGAAAGTTCAGAGAGAGAGATGGTGCAGGAAGCAAATTGTTACATTGTAGCAGGCAGCAGACACAGAGGCAATAAACAAAGCAAAAGGTTACATTGTAGCGAATAGAGGAAGTGAAAGTAATAACCTCGCAGGCATATCCCCCTCCCTTTTGGGAGTACGGCAGAACCCAGGGAAAGGTGAGATTTGTTTTTAGATCAGAGGAGGTAGATAGAAATGAAATAGAAATGGGTTCTGATAAATATCTTATTTTAATGTCTTTGAGAAATAATGAGTTTATTGTTGATAACATATACCAAAAGCATTTTTTCGATGCTTGCGGGCAAGAGAGACCGATATGGATTGTGCTTATAGTAGATGCAACTGGCTTATAGTAGATGCAACTGGCTATTAGACAGAAGATTATGGATATTGAATGAAAATTTTAGATAAGAAGTTTGTGTTTATAGTGGGTGCAACTGGTTATTGAAAATTATGGACATTGAATGAGAACTTTAGACAAGAAGTTTACTATTGAGATTGTGGGAGAAGTAAAACTTATATCGTTTTTGGAAAATGTCTTATGTAATGTCTAAATATGTGTTTTGGGATAATAATATATTTCAGTTTTAAGTTTTAAACCTTTAATGATAATATTGTTTAAACCTGTGTTTTGAAGGGATTATAATTTGTTTATTTCAGTGAGGGGATTCTAATAAATTTGTGTTTCGAAGGGAGTATAATTTGTTTAAGTTTCAAGTAATGCTTAAATTTGGTTTTTAAATATTATTATTAATATTTCTAAGAGAAAATAATTTGCTTAATTAAATGTCTAGATTTGTTTAGGAAAGAAAGTAATGCTTAAATCTGTGTTTTTGGAGAAAGTTTATATAGAATGATGATTGTATTTAGATTTGTTTAGGATTTAAAAGTGTTTCAAGCTTTTAAATATTATTATTAATATTTTTAAGAGAAAATAATTTGTTTAACTAAATGTGTCTAGATTTGTTTAGGATTTTTAAGTTTTTTTTTTTTTTTTTTGGATAGGTGAGAAGATTATGAAGATTGTTTTTGTATTAGGATAAAGAAAGAGGGAGAAATTAGATTTTACATTATAGCTATAGATATTCAAAGAAAGTAATGTTTAAATTTGCGTTTTTGGAGGGAGTTTATATAGAATGATGATTGTATTTAAATTTGTTTAGGTTTTAAAAGTGTTTTAAGTTTTTTTCTCAATTAAGCCTGTACTCAGCTCTGGGAAGTCTAGGGGAGGGTTTGGGAGGTTGGGGAGGAGGGGGGTGAGGTAGGGTTGGGGGGGGTATGGGAAGGGGATTTGTTTTTGTAAAAATTTAAAAATTTTCAATAAAAAAAAAAAATAATAACATATACCAAAAGCCACATCATTATTTTGTGATATCTCTGCCACCACCTTCAGAATACTTTTGTAAATGTATAGAAAATGGAAGATTCACCATGTATTTTGAGTTTACTTGGGGATACCATATAATTATTAATCACTTAGGTGATATCAGTAGCTTGCTTTGAAGAGGATGAGGGACTTTGAGCTAAAGGGATATGAAATTTTCTAATACATTTATAGTGTAGTGAATTCTCCAGTCTTGTTTTCTTGTCTTATTCCTTGTCTACATTATGCTTAACAGTTAAAGTTATGATTTTGCTTTGCTTTGCGGAATAAACTGAAGCTTTAAGGGATGTGTGTGTGTGTGTGTGTGTGTGTGTGTGTTGTTTCATTCTAATCAATGACCATCTTCTTCACATCTTGTATGGCAAAAAAATGAGCCTATTCTTTTTTAAGAATATTTCTAATTCCAGTTGCATATCAAGATGTTCATATAAGCCCTTGGTTTGATGAAAGAAGTCAACATTCTATCAAGGATAAAGATAAAGCAAATATTACATTTCTGCAAATCTGTTTATGAGCTTCTTCCGCATGCCTTCACTGGATTACTCAAGTCTTAAAAGATTTAACAGGAGAAATTACTTGGGCTTTTTATTATCATAGATGGTTTGCTATGTCACACTACATTATGATTAATGGTTTTATTGTGGAATAAACTACAGTTTTCTGGAAGCTCAAAATAAACTAAATCACTATTATAAAAGTTATTAACTACATTCACAACAGCATACAACCCTCCAAATCAAGAAACAATATAATTTAGAAAGTTGTGTAAATAAGGATTTAATAACTGATAGAATAGCCCAAGTCCGCATTATTTTTCCATATTTATATAAAGTTTCAGCAGAAAAGTCTTTTGCACTGTTACTTCTGTACTACATTTTTAATGAGTGGGGGCAAAATGTTTTCCAAAAATGAGAAAGATAAAGTATTCCTTTATTTGGAGAATATTAGTTGGGGTATTTGATTATACACATTTTCCAAGTGTACAATCCAATACCCAACTAATATTCTCCAAATAAAGGAATAATCTATTTTATTTTTGGACAACTTGGAAGCCCCTTGGAAATCTCACATGACTGATCACATTTGGCTGTTGATATACCTGAGGAGGGTTTACTGATTAGTAGGTAAACATTTTTGCAACTATATAGTATAGCAACACAATGAGACTTTGTGGATTGAAAAAAAATATGGTTGGAAATTGGTACTTTCTTTAATATATATATATAGACACCAAAATGTAAATTGTACCTGTGATCAATTCCTTCCCTCTTTCTCTCTCACTTTTGCTTTCTGCTTTCACTAAACAAAAAGGAATAGCTTCCTAAATTGTATTTAATTTTATCTCTCACTTCTGCTTTTTACTGGTGTATGATTTATCTTTATTATAAATGAAAAATAGAAACATGGACAAAGTTCACTGGACTCTCAATAATTCAACATCTGTAGGTTTTGCATTACATTTGGCAACTGAAACAGGAAATCTTATCATATCTGCAGTAACTTTGGGTGATTAAGTGCACAACCCCATGAATTTCTTTCTTATAATTTGGCTATGTGGGATCTCCGTTCTGTTTTATACAGTCTCAAGGCTATGGCAATTTTTTTTCATGTGATTCCTTTCTTACTTTGGTTGCTCAAATCATTCTTAAATCTCCTGATTTTGTCTTCCTCTTTTGCCAAGAGTAAGGTCAGTGATCAGATACATGGGCAATTGATTCTTTTGGATCCACAGACAATAAGTGCACAGTGAATAAAGAGATAAATAATGAGATGTTCAGCTGTACTATTAATCCAAGTAAACTGATTTAATATATAAGGTAAAAAGTATGCATACTGTTATGTATTGAGCTTAAACGAGGAACAGGTGCAAGGAAACCATTAGCAGACCATGTGGCCTGCTAGTCAGACTTACTGTCTGGCTGATCATTAGTATGCATTTGAGCAGGAGAATATGTTGCATTGATTGGCTGACAGCACCCTAAACTGAATGTATAAAAAGGGGCGGAGCCATTTTGTTTTGAGTTCTGTTTAGCTGCAAATAAAGAAGTATCTGTTTGTTACTCCTG